CCGGGCAGCTAGATGTAGTATTCTCCATGATAAGACTGGTAATCAATTCCATGGTGGAATCTACTGTGAACAGCTGAGTAGCTGTCTTTGGGTATGTGGTCTGCTTCCCGTATATAAGCAGCAGCTTTGGGAATGGTCTCTAGCTTGTGGCACGCTTGAACCCTGCATGTAGCTGTGTCATTGTTCAGAAGCCTGCCATGCTCTGCCAACCTTGGGACTTTCAATGCACTTGAATTAATGGCCTGCTATGTGGCTTGGTAACATTGGGACTGTGCCATTTTATTTGTTGACCTTGGGATTGTCAGCCTCAGCAGCCAGCAGCTGCCTGAGTGAAGAGATGCCTCTAGCTTCAGTGGACCAGGAGCAAGAGGCAGAGCTGAAGCCCAAAGTCAAGGGGCTTTCACACAGCCACTAGAGCCTGGCACTTTAATCCCGGCCTTCTAACCTCCCAAACTATAAGAGAATAAACTCCTATTTGTTAAATCCATCCCACTCATGGTATATTCTTGTCAGAGTAGCACTAGGTAACCAAAACACCCAGTCTTCCTTACACGGAGTGGCTGATGGGTTTGAACCATCAGCCTTCTGGTTAGCAGTCAAATGCCTTAGGCACTATGCCACCACAGCTCTCAAATCTCCAACCTTTCAACTTTGTTTTGTTCTCAGGCCTCCTAACCAATATATGAGTGACCCAGTATTCTTCTAATAAATTTCTTTTTCATTTATTAAGTCATTATCGGTTTCTGACTTGCAAGGTGTGTCAACACGCAACGTTCATTGTCTCATTGTGTCAGAGTTCTTTCCTTTCCCCATCTCAGACTCCTCTCTCCTGCTCTACTCTCCACTGTGAGAGGGCATGGAGAGTCACTGTGGTGCTTAAATTAATGCTGTCACGAAAAAAAGTACAAGCCTCAGGTATACTTTAAAATTTTTAGCAGTAGCATTAAAATAAGTAAAAAGAAACAGATGAAATTAATTTTAAGTTTTAAACTAATATATCCAAACTACTGTTACTCAACATATAATCAATACACAAAATATTAATGAGTTACTTTTTCCATGCTAAGTCTTTCATATCTGGTATGTATTTTACACTCTACAACACATCACAATTCTGATGCTAAAATTTCAAAGAAAGTCCTTCCAAAACAATAAAGCTGTGTATAACAGAAAAATATTTCACACTGCTTTTTAAAATTTCAAATTAACAAAAATTAAAAATTCAGTTCCTCAGTCACATTTCAAGTGCTCAACAGCCACGCGCTGGGCAGCACAACCTTACACATGACCTGCTACAAGGGAAAACTTTCCTTGATGGATCCACTAGTTGACAGGCAGCAGAGGCTTTCACACCTCTGCCAATTTCCATTATGAAAGGACTCAGAATTGTGTAAAGACCTATTAGAAATATCTCTTCCCTTGAAATGATGTTTCCTGGGTTGTGTAACTGAAACAGGTTAACACATTATTGAGTGTGAGACCTATCCTTTCCATTCCATAATTCAGTAACAGAGAGAGATCAAGGAGTTACCTTCTCTGACAGGGAATTTAATTTAAAGGCTACTATTACTCTTAAGTCACTTCTTGTTTATTACATTTTGGTAAGTGAAAAGAGACTTTGGGGCTTAGTTTTAACTATAAGTACTTTCATTGTCAAATAAAATGTAGAATTTTGAGTGGCAGGTTGAAGAGTCTAACCTTTATCCCTTAGGCAGAAATGAACTATTAGAAGTTCTGGGGTAGGTGAGTGATATGATGAAATCCGTGTTTCAGGAAAATGAATCTGAATCCAGTGTGCTGGTAGACTGGTAATAACAGGGGTCCACAGGAAGCGTGTGGAGCTTCCAGCATTCTTAGCTGGTTCACATATGTTCTGTTGGGAATGGTGTTTTTCTCTTTTGAAGCTGACAAGACATGTGCTCGTCCTTCAAGATCTAGTTCAGAGTCACTTAGTTTGCTGGATGCAGATTGCAGACTGAGTGACTTTTTCACTTCTGCTCCCACAGCACTTCCCTCAAAATCCTCAACAGAACCTGCAAGGAAGGCCCTGCCTGATCCAGCCCCAGCCTTTCTTTCCAGTCCCACGTTTTGTGGAGTTCCCCTTCCCTCTCTCCACATGAAACACCTTTCTCTGTTCCATGGGCTAAATAATCCCCTCCTGGCTTCAGGGCAGGAGTCCCGGGGTGGTGCAAATTGTTAGGCAAGTTGAACCCCAAAGGTTGGCGGTTCGAATGCATGCAGAGCACCTCAGAAGACATGCCTGGTGATCTGCTTCCAAGAGATCACAACCTTGAAAAGCCTCTGAAGCACAGTTTTATTCTGCAACACATGCAACCATCATGAGTCCAAATCTACTCAAAGTCAACTGGTTTAATTCTGAGTTGGTCTCAGGACCTTCTGTCACACAGTAATTTAGGATTGAAAGGCCTTTCTCCAGGCTTATTCCTCTCCTTTCAAATCTCAGCTTAAATATCAGATCTTTAGGGGCATCCGCTTTGGCTGCTAATCAAAGGGTCAGTGGTTTGAACTCCCCAGCTGCTCCACAGAAGATGGGAAGTCTGCTTCCATAAAGATGTACAGCCTTGGAAACCCAATGGAGGTAGCTGTTGAGTCAGAATGAACTCTATGGGAGTTTATTTTGGTTTGGTTTTCTTCCCCGGGAGCCCTGGTAGAGTAGTGGTATGGGGCAGTTCTAGTCTGTCCCATAGGGTCACTATGAGTCAGAATCAACTTGATGGCAATGGTTTTTTTTTTCCCCCTTTCACAGGTGAGATAGGTGCCCTTTCTATACCCTCTCACTGCACCCCATACTTTTTTACATGGCTCTTATCACAACTTCACAACTGTAATCAAAAGCTAATGTGTGATTAACATCTCTTGTTCCCACTTGATAAACTCCATGACAACGGGAACTATGTTGCTTTCATTTCAGGACCCTCGCAGTTGCCTGTCCCTTTTCATAGAATACTCTATCTCCATCTGCTCATACTTCAGGGGTTTTGCTCAACTCTCAAGCCTCAGCACTATCGTTTGACAGGAACAATCTCCGACCAGCTCATCTGAAGTAACCCTAAAAGTCACTCCATCACAACACTCTATTCCATGGTACTCATCACTTACTTATGCCCACAATGTCAGCTCCAGGAAAAGGAGGGCATCACTGTACCTGAGGTTAGCACATTTGACACACAGTTATGAATGAATGTGGTTCTGTATCGCTTAGTAAATTATACTGAACTGATTTACTCCACTGATGAAACCTGCAAGTCAGAGCCTATTTTTATCAGTAACATTCAAAAAAACTTTCAGAATCTCAGCTTTAACACTTACTAACTGGTGGCATAGTGGGTAAAGTATTTGGCAGCTAACCAAAAGGCTTGCAGTTCAAACCCACCAGCCACTCTGCAAATGAGACAGTCGGCTTCCATAAAGATTTACAAACTTGGAAACCCTAGGGGGAGTTCTACTCTGTCCTAAAGGGTCACTATGAGTTGGAATCTACTCAATGGCAGTGGCACTGGTTTTTTGGGTTTAGCTGTGTGCCCTTGGACAAGTTCTTTGACCTCTATGGGCCTCAAGTTCTCTAACTACATGATGACGATAACATCTTCTTCAGAGTTATTATGAAGATTCTATTTAAAAAAAAAAGAAAGAAAGAAAAAGAAAACACACACACACAAGAAACCCTGCACAAGAATTTGGCATATATTGCATGCTATCTGCTGAAATGTTTGGGGGCATGTTGTCCAATGTGTGGGACCTAAGATGATATGAAAATTGTTTTTAGGTGGTGCTGAGAATTAAATAAGAACACTCTTAACTGTTGGTAGGTGCTTAACTGATTCCGACTCATAGGACCCTATAGAACAGAGCAGAACTGCCCCATAGGTTTTCCTGGGCTGTAATCTTCACACAAGCAATTCTCCAGTTCTTTCTTCCACGGACCAGTAGGGTGGGTTCCAGCCCTCAGTCTTCCTGCTAGCAGCCAAGTGTGTAACCTCTAGACCATCAGGGCTCCTTTGCATTAAAAACTATCCCTTTATAATGTTCCTACAATACTTTAGACAAAAAACAGGCCTTCTTGTGCTCCTGAGTCTAATATGTACCACCATCCCTATCTCTCCTTATTGCTTTTTAGCAAAGAGATTGTCTAGACAGAAAGACAACGGTTAATAGGTGGACTTAACTTTGTTTGCATAGTTGTTAAGAGCCTTCTGAAGCTAGAATGCCTAGGTTTTGCACCCACTTCCCTCACTCAGGGAGCTCTGGTGGCTTAGTGCATAAGGCATTTGATTGCTAACAAGAAAGCTGGCAGTTCAAACCCACTCCTCCGAAGGAAGACTGGGCAATCTACTTCAACAGCGACACCGCCTCGGAAACCAAAGGAGGGTTTATAGAGAGCCTATGAGGGTCATAGCGACCCCATGAATTAGATCCGACTCCACAGCAGTGAGTTTGGTTTGGTTTCGGTTTTCCCTCACTCAGATGACTTCCGGCTACTTAATGAGCTTCCAACACCTCAGTTTACCCAACTGCAAGACGGGAATGAGATCCACCTCAAGGTGTTAGTGTGAACGTAAAACTAGCTATTAGATGGAAGGCGATCCAGAACATAGTAACCCCATGATCCATGATAAATAAACAAGGGTTCGGAACGTGGGGCTGTGAGGGGTCACTGACGAGAGAAACCCTGGGATTCTGAGAGACGCACCCTGGACTAACGTGTGGACACTCAGCAGCAGGCCAGGCTCTCTCTCGGGCCTTCTCCGACTTTGGGCTCTTTGGGGTCTCCTCACGGGAGTTAAATTGCTCTCACCCCCGAGTCGGCGGCTTGCATTCTTACCCGCGCTTCTCCAGGAGACAAGCGCTCCCAAAAGTGATAGGCAAAGAGCGGTATCGGGGCGGGTGCCACCGCATTACGTAAGACGCCGCGACGCACGCAACGCCACGCATGCGCGGCAGGGCTCGTGGTCTGCGCGCAGCGACGGGCGGTAGGCAGCATGGCAGCGGAGCACAAGCCCCGGTTGTCTAAGAACCTGCTACGCATGAAGGTGCGGAGACTCGGGGTGGACCGGGCGGTAGGAGGATCCGGTCCTCTGGGCCTGGCGGGGGCCGAGACGGCAGTCTTACGGGGGTGTAGGCAAGGCCCGTAAGTGCGCCGGCGAGTCCCCTGAGGGCCCCAGCTCTAGCATTCATACATTCACTTAGAACCGGATTGTAAATGAGGCCGACTCAGGAAGCCCGCCGCCGGATACCTCAGACAAAACTCGTAAACAAGTAGTTAGAATACTGCGTGCTTAGTGTATTGACGGGCGTTCTGGTGGCGTAGTGCCTAAGGCATTTGACTGCTAAATCAGTACACCCCACGGAAGGATGGTTGGGTAGTCTACTTCCGTAGTGATAACCGCCTCGGAAACCCAAGGAGGGGTCGCTGTGAGTGGCAGTTGATTCCATGGCAGGGAATGAGTGAAGATAGATAGTCCTTACTACGTACCATACACTGTCCTAAGTGTATATATTAACTCATTTGAGCCTCATAATAACCCCTTGAGGTGGTAAAGTTAATTGTTTTCTTTCTTTTACAGCTGAGGCAAATGAAACAGAGAAGTAAGTAAGTTGCCTAGGTAATAAGTAGTGAATATAGTACTCCGATTCAGGCATTCTGGCTCCAGAATCCCTGTTTAAATTACAGCACTTCTTGTCACTGGACACTGCTTATTGCTAGATGGGTCCCTGGGGATCTCAAACAGTTAAACACTCAACTACTAAGGTTGAGTGCTAAAAAAACTAACAGATCTGTCCTGGAAGAAGTGCAGCTGAAATGCTCCTTGGAGGCAAGAATGGCCAGACTTTGTCTCACCTACTTTGGTCGTGTTGTCAGAAAGAACCATTCCCTGGAGAAGGATGTCATGCTTGGTAAGGTGGAGGGTTGATGGAAGAGGGGAAGGCCTTCACAGTGGCTGCCACGATGGGCTCAGTGTAGCAAGGATCGTGGAACTGACAAGGGATCTGGCGATGTTTCGTTCTGCTGTGCATAGGGTCGCTGTGATAGGCAAAGAGCGGTATCGGGGCGGGTGCCACCGCGTTACGTAAGACGCCGCAACGCACATGACAACAACAACAACTAAGGTTGAGTAGTTTGAAACCAGTTGAAAGGTTGGCAGTTTGAAGCTACCCAGAGATAACCTGGGAAGACACAGTTGGTAATCTGCTTCCAAAAGGTCACAGTCCTGAAACCCTCTGAGATAGGTGTACTCTGCAGTCACGGAGTCTCTGTGAGTCAGAATCTACTTGATGGCAGCTAACAGCAGCAGTCTGTTTGTCGCTGACTACTACTTACTGATGTTGTTGTTATGTGCCGTGGAGTTGCACCTGACTCATAGCAACCCCTCCTTGGGTTTCCAAGGCAGTATCACTGTGGAAGTAGATTGCCCAAACTTCTTTCCAAGGAGTGGCTGGTGGGTTTGAACCGCCAGCCTTCCGGTTAATAGTCAAGGCACTACGCTACCAGAGCTCCTCTACTTATTGATAGATCCCAGCTATTAGATGTCATGTTTAGAATCCCTTTGCCATTGAGTGGATGTCAACTCATAGCAACTCTATAAGACAGAATAGAATTGCCCCAGAGAGTTTTCTAGGCTGAAATCTTTATGGAAACAAATGGTCACATCTTTCTGTTTAGAGACTCTGATGGCTGTTCCAGGAGAAAAGTAAGGTATGTTTTGAAGTATTAGAGAGTAAACTTTGCGTGGGAAAGATTTTACAGGAGTTGAGCTAGAGTAGAAATAGCATGGATGACGGTAGAGGATAAATTTATCGAGTGACTTAGAGTTTCTTAGTACTGCTTTTGTGCACATTAGCAAAATTAGAATCTTGATGAACAGAGTTTTTTTCAGTTTAATGGTTTGTAGTCATATAGATTAGAGAGGAGCCTCTGAATGGTACAAGCGGATAAGCCGTTGACAACTAGCTGGAAAGTTGGTGATTCACATCCCCCACAAGGCCTCTTGAAAGGCAAGCTTGGCCACATGCTTGCAAATTCTGTAGAGCACTTCTGTGCACATGCAGGGTTGTCGTGAGTCAGAATCAACTTGATGGAAGCAATAAGAATATTTCAGAGAAGTGGAGCATTAAAAGCAAAGACTGAGACAATGTCAGCAGGTGTTTCAGCTCTTGGACTAGGCCAAATGAATGTGTGCTTAGTGATTAGGGCACAGATCAAAGATAGGACCCTGGAGTTAGGAAGGAAGAAATAAAGAAAAAAGTTATCCACTCCCAGCCAAATGGTTAGGGTTGGAGATTTAACTGGACATTGGAAGGAAGGGAGGGGGAGGGAAAATTACACAGTTTTCAGTTTAGGTTAGCAACTTTGATTGGTGTTTAACTGTTGATAAGGAGCTTAGTGACAGGATTACAAAAGACACTTTACTTAGAGTGTACTGTGAGAATAACTGGAGCTGGACTACATGAAGAAGGATGGAGCATCCAGATTGGAAGAAGACTCATTAACAACCTGCGATAAGCAGGTGACACAACCTTTCTTGCTGAAAGTGAAGATGACTTGAAGCCCTTACTGATGATCAAAGATAGCATACAGCCTGCAGTATGAATTACACCTCAACGTAAAAGAAAACAAAAATCTTCAGAACTGGACCAGGAATATTAGGTGAACCCCACATCCAACTGCTAGGAGGCTCCTGGGTGGTTTCTGCCTTTATTTTTTCCAATATTGCTGCTTTATCATTTTGATGTGATGAGCCTTTGGTCTGCTCACCTGTCCCCTGAGGAGCTAGAGTTGTCTGTGCTATGGAGAGATATCAGAGCAGGCCTATGCTCCCGCCAACCCCCCAGCATGTTCAGAGTTGAGTTTTTACAGATGGCAGAGAGAGAGCAGCAGAAGTGTTCGTGAGCTCTTCAGTGGCTAGGTACAGATGAGGAGCAGGCCAGCAGGTGACCAAGCAGGTGCAAGGGCCCTTGGGTTCCAGGCTCAGCAGGAGCATCAGCAAGCACTGAGTTTCTATTCCCTTTTCCTTTCTCTCCCCCACCCCCCATCTGCCCACCTCTCTATTTTTCTCTCCTTCCCCAACCCATCAGTCTTCTGTCTTAGCCATTTTTCACAGACCTTTGTGTAAAATGGAAACAGTGTGATACAATAAAACCTGAAAAGGCCAGAAGCTGTATAAGATAAAAAACCTGTCACAGAAGGAAAACTCAAATACTTGCCACTAGAAGAGGTGATAGGAAATTGGTAAGAGTGCATCCTGTCAGAGGCAGAAAACCTGCAAGACCCAGAAAAACAAGGTACTCCCATTGCCTTCTGGCTCTCACAAGTTTCACTGTATTTGTTGACTACACTTTTCCTTAAGTGAAAAATTTCTTTTCATTAAGTCAGAAAGACTAGAGAGTCTGTTAAGGCGTTGACAGGTTCTTCAGAGGAAGCAGACCTTTGCCGTGTCATGTGCTCTGGCACGCTCCATCATGTTCTGGTGTGGCATTGGTGAAGGGGGGGCTGACCCCCACCCTCAGTCATGAGGTGGAACTCCTGGGAAAATGAGGGAGGGAAGGGGAGGATGAAGCTGTTGGCGCTTTCTGCTGCCCTAGACTGGGGAAGTTAGTTGCTGATGAGTTTCGTTTTGTTTTTGCAGTTCATGCAAAGGGGACTAGACTCGGAAACCAAGAAGCAGCTGGAAGAGGAAGAGAAGAAAATCATCCGGGAAGAGCACTGGCACCTGGATCTGCCGGACCTCCAGGAGAAAGAGTCAGTTCACTAGGATTTGGAATGATGTTTGGTCAGCAGGGAGTCCCTGAGAATGTCATTGCCTTGCCAGTGACATGAAGCCCAGAAGATGGTGTGCAGTCACCTTCTGGAGTTAGCCTGGCAGATAGTTTTCTAAAATTACTAAACTTACGAAAGTTCTGCTTGGGCCTGGTCCTAGATCGAATTGTGTCCCCCTAAAACTATGTGTCAACTTGGCTGGGCTATGATTCTCATGGCAATTATGTCGTGATGTGGCAATTATGTAATGTTCCCTATGATATGATCTGCTGTGATCAACCAGTCAGCCTTAAAAGGATTGGGATGGGATGCAACACTCTTAATCCTGTTACACCCCTGATAGGACGTAAGGGAAGTTTCCCTGGGGGTTGGCCTGCAACATCTTCTATCTTGTAAGAAATAAAAGGAGAGAGGTAAGCAGAGAGAAGGACCTACTACCACCAAGAAAGAAGAGCCAGGTGTGGAGCACGTCCTTTGGGTGCAAGGTCCCTGCACTGGGAGCCTCTGAGAATCAGGAGACATAGAGAAAGCATTCCCCTGGAGCCAGGACCCTGAATTCGGACTTTTCACCTCCCCAACTGTGAGAGAATAAATTGTGGTTAAATTTGTTAGAGCTATCCACTTATGATATTTTTGTTAGAGCAGCACTAGAGACCTAAGACAGACTTAAATGTTTTTATTGGTCCCCACTGTCATTTAGGACATTGTCCTTTATTTACACTGAATAAAGGAATCCAGCCCATGCTTCTCTTGTGTTAACAGGGGTGCTTTTATGAAAAGCCGTATTTGTGCTCTCTCATATGAACTTCCAAAGATAGGTGTGTACCCTGAGCATCTCCAGTTTTGTTCAGTAACTGAAAGTTCTTCCTTAGATTCAGTTGCTTAAGGGCAGGTTGGGGGTTACATTTCATCCTTTTTTTTCATTTGTTGTTGCATTTAATACTAATGCTTTTAGCCAACATTTCCTGTGCCTTAGCGGTTAAGCGCTTGGCTGCTAACCAGAAGGTTGCGGGTTTGAACCCACCTGGCAGCTGTGCAGGAGAAGGCCTGGTGCTCTGCTTCTGTAAAGATGGCACCTGAGACAATCCCACGGGGCAGTTCTCCTCTGTCCCATGGGGTCACTGCGAGCCAGCATCCACTCGACAGCACCCATCAGCCACAGCGTCGTGCGTGCTGGAAACTGCTGAGCACTTTACCTCTCTTAATTCATTAATCCTCAGGGTGGACTTAAGAGCTGGCTGTTCCCATTATGTCCATTTTATAGTTGGGGAAACGGAGGCTTAGGGTCACTTCTCTGAGTCACCCCATTAGTTGGTGCTGAAGCTGGGATGGCTCACTGGACCAGCGGTCCTCTGCCTCCAAGCTCAGCTGGAGCTTGATACGAAACTTCCCGTGAAGGAGTGGTGGATTCACATTACTCATTAACTGACTTAAATCCTTCTGGAAGCTACTGATCACTTCTCCCCGACCCTTTTATGAGTTGCTGAGCTCTGTGGTGGGGTAGTCTTACTTAAACTTGTTGACGTGACTGTAGTTACCCCTCGTTACCTTCAAGCACGTTTCTGTTTTTTCTTTCTGTACCTTTATAATTTTTAGTTTTGTTTTTAACATGCTCCACTCCCTTGCTCATCTTGGCTGACTCTTTCTGGACAGTTAGGTTTCTCCTCTAAGACAGAAATCAGTCCCACCAGAAGGGGTGGGAGGCACATGCTTTCTTTTCCCCACTGGCTTTGCAGAAGGAAGCAGGGTGTGAGTGAGGACAGGGAAGACTGACTGAGAAGGGCCCGTTGCTGTAAGGAGCTGTCACTGAAGTCTGTGCCTTGACTCTACCTGCATAAAGTGTTCCAGATGGTTTCTTTCTCATCTCTAGTAAAGAGCAGAATAGTTCTTGTTTTCAGTATTCTTTTTCTTTCTAACACTGCATGTTGTTCCCACAAAATGACTTTCCGATTGCTTTTCTTTTTGCCGTCACCCAGTGTCTCAGTTTATCTTGTGCCACTGTAACAGAAATACCTCAAGTGGGTAGCTTTAACAAACCAATTTATTCTCTCATAGCTTGGGAGGCTAGAACTCTAAAATCCCCCAGCTCTGGGGGAAGGCACTCTGTCGGCTCTGAGGCAGGGTCTGCTCTGAGGCAGGGTCCGTGCTCCTTGGCTCCTTGGTCATCTCTATGTGGCCTGGCATCTGTCTTCCCCATCTCAGCTTGCTCCTCTGTCCTCATCCGCTCTTTTTTACATCTCAAATCTTAAAGCATACCCTACACTGCTATGGCCTCTTAACATATCAAGGAAAACCCATTCCCTACTGTGATCATGGCCACAGGTATGAGAAACCAAACTTGTGGCCATAGATTTGATTCTCACTCCTAGTGACTGTATCAGACAGAGCAAAACTTCCTCATAGGTTTCCAAGGCTGTATGTCATGTTCACATGAGCAGATTTCCACTTCTTTCTCTTGGCACAGTTGCTGGTGGATTCAAACTACCAACCTTTCAGTTAGCAGCCAAGTGCTTTAACCACTACACCACCCAGGTTCCCTTAACCCCTTCTTGTTGTGTGCCATCGAATCAGACCCGACTCATAGCAACCCCTCATTGGGTTTCCTAGGCAGTTTCACTGCAGAAGTAGATTGCCCAACCTTCCTTCTGAGGAGTGGCTAGTAGGTTCTAACTGACAGCCTTCTGGTTAGCAGTCAAGTGCCTCAGGTACTATGCTAAGGGGTCAGGATTTATAGCACATATTTTGGGGACAGACAATTCAGTTCATGACACTCAGCATCCTGTTTATGACTCTGTGTGTGTGTGTGTGTGTGTGTGTGTGTGAGTTCAGGATGTTGGCAGGAAAAGTTGGCTGTCTGAGTGCTGAGTGATGTGGGGAGAGTATAACTGAGACTTCCTGGCTTGAGTAGGGCAGAACAGTGCCCTGTGACTTGCATAAGTGACAGGACTTTCCACTCTGGGTCTGGAGGATCAAGGGGAGGAGGTGGCTACTGAATCTGAAGACAGGCTGGTTGGAATAATCCTTACTCAGGAGCTATCCCCTTCAGTCCAGGGCATGACACACTGTGGTAATCCTACAGGGAGGGAGTCAGGTTTCCAAGCTCCCCCAGTGAATACACACCCACACCTTCTGCCGGTGCTTCTCACTGTGTGAGCCTGACTGGCAGCCAGTTACATAATATTCATATTAGCCTCCCAGAGCAGAGAGCAGGGGGAAAAGGGCAAGTGGGTCTGGAGGGGTAAGTGGAAGGAGTGCTGGGCTTTGTGCCTGTGTGCTTGGGCCTGTGTGTTTAACAGTGCAGATGGGGAGACAGCAGAGTGGTTAATTCAGAGAGCTCAAAATTAGGCATACTTGGGTTTGATGCCCAGCTCTGCCACTTGCTTACTGTGTGACCTTGTGCAAGTTGCTTAGCTTGTCTTTTGTCACTTGTAAATTGCATATGATGATGGTATCTGTCATGTACACTGTGAGAGAGAAATGCAACGATCCATGTAAAGCAGTGCTGTGTATAAAGCACAGTGTTGGCAGTACATGTCCTTCCTTGCACTGCATATTATGTAACTCACCCAGCTGTTTTGTTCACTTGTGTTTGTGAATAAATCTTTTTACTAGTGCCAGGGGGTCACTTCTGTTATACTAAGAGATTCCACTATTCATGTGTGTCAAAGTCAAGCAGCTGCCTTTACCATGTCAGCTGTATCACGGTATCATTCAATGATAACAGTTAGGACTGGTCAGTGTTATACCTCCTCCCAGGGGACATGCACAGCTGGTGACTGTGCTATGTAGCAGAGTGAGGGGCCCAGCTGCTTTGTCTTGATTTGGAGCCACTGAAGGGGTTTCTAACTCCAGAGCTCCTTGCAGGTGGCGGAGGCCTTACTATAATTCCACTGCAGGTTGTCTTTTCCCACTGCCCACTCCTGCCTTTCTCATTTCCATAGAAGAGCATCTCCCAAAAGACACTCCCCAGTAGGACTTCTGTATATAACTCCATCTGAGAGGAGCCCGATAAACAACACTAGTATAGGTTCCTAGGGGTAGAATTTACCAGATCAAGGCTTTGCTGTGTTGTTGCCGTATTGTTTTTCTCCAAAAGATGTGTCAACGTGGAGCGTGTGAGTGTGGCCAGTGTAATCACTCCTTGGCTGCAGGATATTGTTTTAAAAGTGCTTGTGGCTGCTGTGTGCCTTGTGCTTATCTTGTATTCTGATGAGTGTGGAGACCTGGGAGGGAGCAGATGTTGCCCTACATGCACACAGCTTAGCCAGTTTCCTGGATGCTGGAAGAAGACATGAGACTCTGGGGTCAGCGTCAAAGGAAGTTATTACAGTGCAGTAAACAGTATGAGCACTGTGTTTGCATCTTATCCTTCCTTATCCCCAAGTCCCACGGCTGTGACATGGAACAGCCCACGTGTGTGCTGCTGCTCACACACTGGGTTTACATCAGAGGAATCCTGAGCTTGGAGATCCGGAGTCTTTGATGGTGGACTGCAAGCAGACTTGCCCTTGTCCCCAGAAGGAAGCATCTTGATTATGTTGGACGATGAGCAGATCTGCCCTTTGCTCTAGAGGGGGAGACGCTGTATCTTCCAAGCCATTCACTGCACACATGACTTGAAAAGACAGTCCAGAACAAAAGGGTTGGTGCCTTGCTCTCAAGATGCCAGAAACGCAAGCAATGCATGTTGAGTCATTTGCCCAGCAGTAAGCCACTATAGGCTTTTGCTTTGTTTACCATGCATATTATTTGTGACTTTGGGCAATTGTGTTTATTTTTTTCTGAGCAATAGTTTTCCTCAGCTGTAAAATGAGAGTCTTGAAATAGGTCATTTCCTGGGTGTGTTTTAACTCCAAGATGGTGACCAGTGGGATCACAGGCCTGCTTTCTCTTGTTTGTGGTCTGAAAGTGGTGGCTTCATATATTGTCCTGTTTTATACTTACACTGGGAGGGCTAGTCAGGTTCCAATTAGTTTCTCCCTGGTGCCTGGTAGTGGGATAGCCTGCTTTATTTTTATCCATTTGTTGGTTACCCGACCCACTCTCTGGAATGGAAGGTGCTCTGGTGGAATGGTAGGTGAGGCATTTGGTTGCTAATCAGTAGCTTGGCTGTTGAAACCCACGAGCTGTTCCACAAGAGGAAGGTGAGCAGTCTGCTTCCATAAAAATTTACAGCCTTTGAAACCCAGGGGGGTTGCTGTGAGTCAGAATCGACTCAGTGGCAGTGGGTTTGATTTGGGTTTCCTTTAGAATGTGACCTCCGTGAGAGCAGAGGCTTCTTTACTCATGACTGTCTCCCCACCTTCTGAAACAATTCCTGGCACACAGTTTGGTAAAATGAGTATTTGCTGAGTGAGTGAATGAATCATGGTGAGAAGTGGAGCCTTCCTTTCTCCAATGAAGCCTTGAAGGCCAGGAGATTGCTCTCCTGCTATCCTCTGTGCTTCATAACAGGACTGTAGTCAGAGAAGGTCACCTGGGCTTGGGAGCATGAAGTACTGTCTCAGAGCAGAATCCCTTGTGAAGGCCAGAGTAGCCATACCTGCATCTTGCTTCCAGGACAACAGTGGCCCAGGTGCCCTGGTGTCCGCACTGGTTTACGAGGGTCGTTTGTAGCATGATTTTGGTTCGGGTCCACAACTAGCTGCCCATTATTTCTGCCTGGTTTCCATTTCTGGCCGCTCGACTTTCCCAGTGATTCTATGAGGCCCCACTATCCTTTTAAGAAATCCTCCTTGGCTCACATCGTCCAGAGTCATGCGCTTGCCCGAGTCATGCCTGGGCTCTCATCTCCCACTGCCTCTAGCGTATGTGTTTCTCAGAACTTGTTGAGAGGATAGGAACGTCAAGGAAACTGCTGCGACTTTGGAAAATTCCAGATGATGGTGAATATTGTAGGTCCCCACTCTGAAGGTCCTGTAGAAGATGCAGTGCCTCCAGCCGGCAGCTCCCATTTCCTCGTGCCTTCGCTGGCCACGTTCCTCCACCTTTATGCATAACCCTAGGTTAGAAATCTTGCCGTGTTGTGGCTTGATTCTGTGAAGACCTGTAGGGTTGAACTCTCCTTTCCAGGCTGGACCTAGTGGCTGGGCTTGTTGTAAGTGAAGTGCTGTTAACCTAAGTGTCTTTTCTGCTCAGGAGCTTCATAATAGAAGAGCAGAGCTTCTTGTTATGCGAAGACCTTCTCTATGGAAGAATGTCCTTCAGAGGATTTAATCCCGAGGTCGAGGTATTAAATATAATTGCTTCAGATTTAAAGATTTTCCAGTTGAGTTCTTACTGCTAATAATTAGGTTAGGTTTTCTTCCCAACAGGTACCATTTCTTCTCATTATATAGAAAATAACAAGTCTTGAAATATTGCCGTAGCTATTTAGAGAAATTGCTGGCCTCTCAGTCTAGCTTTATGGCAGAGCTGAGTGGATAATTTAACATCACTGTGTGCAGCCCTGGCAGTGCCACCACCACATGAGACTTCCCACTCAGGTCTCTTACAGGAACATCAGGAGTTTGTTCATATGATGCCATTAGGAAAAATTATTTTCTGACAGCTATAAATGTAACTTTTCTAATGAAAAAAAATCTTACTAGAAACTATGATTTGACTTTTTAATGGACAGGTTTTAGACCAAGCTGGTAAATAGCTTTTTATTTGAATCCCTTGAGAAGTTTGTTTGAAAAGTGAATGTTTTCCTTGTAACTAAGCTGTTTATTTGCATGTTCTTGCCTCAGCTTGATTTAGCAAATATGTATTAGAACTCTGGCTCATATGTTAAAAGTCACCCTGTCGGGTCTTGACCAATGAAGTGAACGTTGGTGGTGTGTACATTGTCAGTTTTGTAACTGAAGGCAGGGTTTCTCAGTCTTGGCACTGCTGACATTTGGATCAGATCACTCTTTGTGGTCGGGGTGCCCTGTGCACTGTAGGGCATGGAGCAGCATCCCTGGCCTCTACCTGCTAGATACCAGTAGCACCCTTAGCTGTGACAACCAAAAATGTCTACAGACATCCCATGGGGACACAGTTGGGAACCACTGCTCCAGAGATGTCTGTTGTTGTCAGAATCACAGTTGTCTGAAACAACTGCCAGTATTTGCTTAGAAATGCTGGGTTGATTTTCTTTTCTCAGGGGTGTAAGAATTAAGGTGTTATGTGTAATTTGCACCAAGTCAAGATTAAAAGTGTTCATAATGCTTTCTGTGCTTTGACCTGATTAAAGCTTTACATGGGAAGTGAAAGACAGTGGGTGAAAGAGAAAACAAGCAGACTGGGGGATTAGGAGTCCGGGGTGCCCAGAGCATAGGCACACGCTGCAGACAGTCTGGTGGCATGGGGGAGGCCAGGGGAGGCCCTCCCAACTCAATGTCCGTGGGAGGCCAGTGGAAAACGGCTGTAATTACTGGCACTGTAATACTGGATGCATTCTCTCTGGGAAAACGCCCTGCCCTCCTGAGCTCCTAGACATGAGATGTCTAAACAGGTGAGAAAAGTTCAGTTTTCCTAGTAATGAAACAATTGATACAAATGAAAAGCACTTCTTCCCAGCAAGATGCGTTCTGAAGGCGCTTGTGCATATGGTCCGTGTTTCTAGTTACGTCTGTCATCAGCCCATTCAGTTGTGGCAGAGTCACTCTGCCTCATGGTGACCTGTATGTGTCAGAGCACAGGTGTGCTCCAGGGGGTTTTCAGTGGCTGGTATTTTGGCAGGAGATTGCTGGGTCTGTCTTCTGAGGTACCTCTGGGTGGACTCAGAACTGTAACCTTCTGGTTAGCAACCAGGCACGTTGACCATCTGCCCCACCTGGGCATTCCAGCCTCTAGCACAAAGGTGGTTTGTCCAGTAAATATTTATTCTGTACCTGCAGCCTTTCAGCCTTGTCCAGGTGCCAGAGATACCACAGGGAGCAGACTCTCTGTTCTTAATGGAGCTTGTGTCCTTGAAGTTATTTTATGTTCAGGCCTTTAAAGTTTGCAAAACTCATTGGGACTGCTTTTTCCTCCTTACTTTCCCCTGGTCTATAAAGAAGTTATTGTGTATATGTGTGTGTGTGTTTATGTGTATAAATATATATATATATATATTTTTTTAATTTTTTATTTTAAAAAAAGGTCTGTCAGAGGCTAACTATTGAGAAAATGGTCAATTTAGAGATGTAGTCCTGGCACATGCTACAACATGGATCAACCTTGAAGACATTGTGTTTCATAAAGTCAGTCAGTCACAAAAGGACAAACACTGTATGTGATTTGACTAATATGAGATAGCTGGACTAGGCACACGCGTGGACATCAGAGTTTAGTAGTGGTTAACAGGCAGGAGAGACAAGACAGGCTGAGCCATGGTTTATGAAGCAGTGAGTGTCATGTGTGGAGACCAAGTTTTGCAGGAGGGCGGTGAGGTGGGATTCAGCAAATTCCTTGGTGATGATTGCACCACGTGATAATGTGATTGACATCTCTGAATTGTACATGGGAGAATGTTGAACTGGCAAGTGTTGCATTATCTCTATTTTTACAACAATGAGAGAAAGGAGTGTATACATTCAAAAAATAAAAGGTTTGCATGGAAGAACCAGATAGAAAGCTGAGGCATGTTTCCCTCAGAAGGAGGGTGAGAGTGGGATGCATATTCTCGCCATCAGTCCCAGGCTACCCTTCGAGTCACTTCTTCTATAAAGAAATTTGCTGTTGCCTACCTCCCCCCTCAAGAAAAAGCACTTAAAATTACTATTGATTGTAGTACTTCTTCCTTTGACTCAAAGGTGGAAAATCTAGAGGGAATCTTAGACTTGCTTTTTCTTTCCCCTTCTTTTGCTGGAGTTTGATGACAGTGTGCCTGCTTCACGTATGTTGTTACCTGCCGCTGAGTGGACCCCGTGCACGGTGAACAGAACCCTGCCCAGTCCTGTGCTGTGCCCATGATTGGTTGTAGATGAGATTTTTGTGATCCATACAGTTCTTATTGGCTGATTTTCACAAGTAAACACCAGGCCTTTCCTCCCAGTCTGTCTTAGTCTGGAAGCTCCACTGGAACCTATTCCACATTGTAACTGTGTGCAGACCCACACAGATGAGTGGTGGCTGCACGTGAGGTGCATTGGCTGGGAACTGAACCCAGGTCTCCCTCATTGAAGGCAGAGATGCTGCCAGTTAACCACCAGTGTTCACTTTACATTGGCAACTAAGAATTAGCTTTATGACCTAAAATGCAGTTGAAATGTAATCTAGTAGGGCTTCGTCTTACGTTGTTTTAGTTTAGCGTGATCTCTGGAGGCCCTGTGTGACGTAAAGTATTACAGTGAAGTCCTTATGGATTTTGGCTGCTGAAGGTTTTCTGACTTCAGTTTCTCTGCCTGCTAATCAATTTGAGATCAGTTCCTTTCAGAAGCCTTTCCCAGCCCTCATGGTCAGTGTTGGTGTGGTTTTCAGAAATTAATGCTTCAGATGAATTCCAAGAACAACGCCAAAGAAACTGAAGATGAAGCACTGGAGCTTGATGTGTCCGATGAAGAAATGGCTAGAAGGTAACTGTTACCTTGGAACAGCTATGTAACGGGGGAAATTCATTGGTTTCACGTGGGCTTGGGCACTCCTTTTGCCCCAGAGTCTCCCGCAGCCCTTACAGGGAAAGGTGATGTCAGTGCCTTTCTCGTCCATGGCAGCAGTGAGTCCAGCCCTGGCCCGGGCCTGCAGCTGAGGGCACACAGCAGTGCTGCTCCAGGGTATATTGTTCAACATACACTCCTAACTGGAAGACCTTTGAAGCTCTGCTGTAGGGTATGGAATATGAGCTAGAACCCCCTTGTATCCTTTCTAAGAATCTTGGTGGCACAGTGGTTAAGCACTTGGCTGCTAACCAAAAGCCCACCAGCTGCTTCCACAAGAGAAAGATGACGTAGTCTGCTTCCATGAAGATTTAGTGCCTTGGAAACCCTGTGGGGCAGTTCTGCTCTGTCCTGTAGAGTTGCTAGGGGTCAGAATTGACTCAGCAGCAGCAGGTTTTTGAGTTTTTCTCCCTTCTAAGAAACCTTCCATAAAAGTTGACATTACTCATCAAGGAAAAGAAAATGGACATCTTAACTTACTGAGAATAATGCAAAAACAAAAGACTGGAAAGCCTTGTATCATTCTCACCAGCGTTTGTACGTTTTCATACTGGAAGCCTCTGTTTAATTGTAGTTTGGATTGTTTACATTCCTTGCAGCATGACTGGTTTGATAATTCTTAACAGACTTGATTCTGATTTTTTTTTTTTTTTTTTTTTTTTAAATCAAACATGCTATATATCATCTTAACAGGTATGAAACCCTGGTGGGGACAATTGGAAAAAAGTTTGCCAAGAAAAGAGACCGTGCCAATTTGGAAGAAGATGAAAATGGGAACCTAAAAACAACTAACGCAAAGAAGGTGTTCTTAAAACCCCAAGAGTAAATGGGTGCTGAAGGTGTGCACCACGGACGTCTCATCTAAGATAGTGACCTGTTTTGGGACTGACTCTGGTCATTCTCTGTAGTTTTTAACACTATAATATGTGTTTGTAAACAAATGTATACTGTTAGAAAATGCTGTGCCCAAAACAGATGTGTGATGGATGTTATACATCCTTTGCTTAATGGTATCCATCAAGAATGGGTTTTCAGCCCTCGACCTTCAGATGTACATATTTACATGATTGCTTCCAAAAGATTTTTTTAATAACGCTCGCTAGTCCCTGACCTGCAATAAATTATATCCCTGTTTCAGTTGCTCTTGTGTTTATCTTTGCTTTAAATTATTAATCATGTCAAGCCAATCACGTATATATTTTGGAATCAAGTATTGTCTGAGCACAGACCAATAACTTGAAATTTGCCTGAGGTGCCATGAGACTGAAGAAAGAGACAGGCAGCTCCAGGATTGTGATATAGGGGCTTTTTAAGGTCTTCCTGACCAAGGCTGGTTGCTGGGCAAGATCAGTGTTGACCAGAGTCTCCCCACCCCCCATCAGGAGGCAGGGGCTTTATGGCTCTGACAAACAAAAGTGGCTCAGTGCCAGATCTCCAGACCTCCAGGGTCACCCCAGCAGGTGTTACAAAATGACTTAAGCAGAAGTGAGCTAGCAGCAAGCAACAGTGTTGCCATATTCAGCCTCACAAAAACCTATTTCCATATAATCCACCTCACTGGGCAGCTCTTAAAATCTAGTGCATTCCCGTGCTCATCTGCAAGGTTCCTAAGGGCCCCACGGGGAGGCAACACAACAGGTAAGTAAGGACAGGCAGGGTACCGCAGCTGGAGGCACAGGCCACAGCAGCAGTATGGGCAAACAGCAGAACAGCCCTATACCCAGGTGCAGTGTAGTAAATTACATAGTGAGGCTTTTTCTAGCCGTAAGTCTTTGTAAACTCTGTGGTGGAATTTGCTGTGAGCAGCTAAGTAGCTCCTGATTGTTAAAGTTATCCATCTGGGGTATTTCTATTGAGAGCTATTGTTATGTGCCCTCAGGTTGGACCTAACTCACAGCGACCCCTCCTTGGGTTTCCAAAGCAGTATCACTACAGAAGTAGATTGCCCCATCTTTCTTCCGAGGAGTGGCTGGTGGGTTTGAACCGCCAGCCTTCTGGTTAGTGGTTAAGTGCCTTAGGCACTACACTACCAGAGCACAGAGTAATTTTCTGGGAAGTTCATTGTCTCTCAGGTGTGTAGAACTCTGATGTTGGAATTGGTTGGTTTGGACCACTTTCCCAGGCTCATAAGGAGCCCTCAGAGGCAGGAGGAGTCTCTCTGACTGCTTGCTGGGAAAGACGTGCTGCTGAGAGACATGCGCTTCTGAGAGACACGCACTTGCTAAGTGAGACAGCTGTCTGTGAGAGACTGACTGCATTTCTGAACTTGAATTGTATAGCCTGTTTCCCTAATAAACCCCATAATCTGTGAGTTCTGAGTGGCCACTGCAGCGAATTATCAAACCCAGCAGAGAGGTGGTGGGTGTTGTGGGAGGAATGGTTGGTGTCAGGGTTGGTGAAAGGACTAGAGGGGGCAGCATGTCTGGCCTCGCAGGAATAGGCCTTGGGCTACTGATGGTGATTATGTCTTCTGTGCAGTTAGAGGAGGTCGGAAGATGCAGCCTCCTTGCCCCTTTGGTACCAGGAAAAGGCCAAAACCATAGTGCCTGAGGCATTTGACTGTTACCCAGAAGGCCGGCGCTTCAAACCCTCCAGTCACTCCTCAGAAGGAAGGTTGGGCAGTCTACTTCCATAGCGATACTGCCTCGGAAACCCAAGGAGGGCTCACTATGAGTCAGGTCTGACTCGAGGGCAGTGAGTTTAGTTTTATTATTTTTTTGGGATCTGGAAGGCAAGGATGGAAACAACCATCATGGACCAGCCATCAGGTGTGTCCAGGGTTGCCATTTCTTCACATGGTCTAACAACACTAATGTTCTGCTGGTGGACTGGTATTGAGGTACAGCATTCCATCCACTACAGCACATGGCCCACCTTGAGCAGCCATCGGAATGTCCAGAGTCACCTAGTTCAAGAGGACACCTTCCTCATCTGGGTGGTTTCAGCAGTTAATAGCTGCAAGCTTTCCCTGCTGTTGTCCAGAGCCTGTTTAGTAAAATTGGTTAGAGTTTCACTTTATCCCCTTCCTTCCACAGAGCCAAGGGAAAGAACAAAAATAGTCAAGAAGTAGTGATACCAGTGGAAAACGTTTTACAGTGGAAGATTCACCAGTCTTTTTTACCATCTTATGCATAGACCCACCAGAATTGCTCTAATATTGTAAAATTTTCAGAACATTTCATTGTTTATTTTCAAACTCATTATTTATAGATGTTATAAGCCAGGGCAAATAAAGTTCACTTCTTCTCAAACTTTACTGCTTGCTGCATACCCTCAGAAGGAACACTGGTGGCACAATGGTTAAAAGCATTTGGCCGCTAACCAGAATGTCAGCGATTAGAACGCACCAGCCACTCAATGGGAGAAAGATGAGTCAGTCCGCTTCCATAAAAATGGACAGCCTTAGAAACCCTATGGAGCAGTTCTGCTCTGTGCTGTAGGGTGCTGTGAGTTGGAATCGACTCAATGGCAGTGGGTTAACACACCCTCAAGTTTACTTTTACTGATAGTTTGTCCTAATACATGGCATAAATACACTATCAAACATAACCAAAAACTAACCAACAGCAGAGGGTACACTAGATGACTGATACCTCCTAAAAACTAACATTTATGCACATCAAAAGGCTTCACTGAAAGACTGAAAAGAGAACCTACAGACTGGGAAAATAATTTTGCCAACAACGTATCAGAGAAGGAACTAAACTCTAAAATATAAAGATGACTTCAACACCTCAACAAAAAGATAAATGATACACTTAAAAAAATGGGCAGAGGACATGAACTTTACCAAAGGAGACATTCAGGTGGCCAACAAATACATGAAGAAATGCATACAATCATTATTCATTACAGAGATACCATCTCATCTGACCATAGCAAAGTTCAAAAAAAAAACAAATGCTGGTGAGTATGGAGGGACTGGAACCCTTATACACTGCTGCTGGGACTGTTAAATGATGCTACCTCTGTGGAGTACAGTGTGGTTCTTCCTTTAAAAGTTGAAAATAAAGAGTTCCGGCAAGATGGCGGACTAGGCAGAAGGATTGCACAGACCCTCTTCAACAAAGAAAAGGGAAACCAATTAACACAGACACAGAAGAT